GTCCTAAGTTGTGGCCTGACACACACTGGTGTCGTACCTCTGGATTTAGTGAAATGTCGTATGCAGGTTTGTATAAACTTAAACATTTCTTGAAGTTCTATTTTATGTCTAGCCAGCATATTAAGAGTTAGCAGTAGGGATGTAATCTTTTGTGGATAGAAGAAGCAAGTAAACTTGAATGCTGCTTTATCACATCTACTGCTGTAAGACTAGCAAAATGCCACTTTCAAGAGAAGTAAAGGTATTACGGATAATCTGGACACGTTATTTTTGGCAGCATTTGACACACATTTAACTGACTGTTGGCTAAAGGGCATCCACCACAGAGTTACTCTGCTGGCTGGTTGGCTGTCCAATATTATTCCAGTGCTTTTGTAGTAAGGAAGTAGTATCTTTTGGATCTGTGTTTTTTAGCCTGGAGTGACATGCATGTGTAATTTGATCCATTAACACCATGGATATCAATGCACGCCTTGTGGATTGGATATTTTCTAATGCTGTTGCTTTGAGCAGAGTGGCTAAAACTTGATTTAAAATCATGAAGGCCATTGGTGCTTGCAACTGCTTTCCTTGAAGTGGTTTTAGATTAATCTGTAAAGGAGCATCGTTGCATTGCACTTGTGACACATTAAAATAATTTTGTGAACAGTCATGGATGAAAACATACTAATGGATTTTTTTCAGGCAAATCTGCAAGAATGAAGCACATTAAAGCACTCCTGTACATTTCTGGAAATACAGTAGTTAATGGTTTCCCTGTTGCATAGGCTGATTATAAAAACGGCCATTATGTAATTACAGAACTCCTGAAATTAGGAGGGAACTATGAATTAATCAGACCTCCTTGTCATGCTAGGAGTATGCATATGCTATTCTTCAAAACTGTGTTCTGAATCTCCTTTTTTTGAGGTTTACCAGAGAGATTTTTTTTCACATTCTTGAAAGCATCTGAAATTCTAGTCTCAGACTAGGAAATCTTTAACACATCAGACATGCTCAGTGTGGGCTACCAGTTTTGGTTTATTATATGGTCAGGGTGGTGGTACTTCCCTTTCCCTCTCCAGCAGTTAGAGGGAGGTTCAGGATGGGCATTCCATGTGGATTCCAGGTGTGATCTTGTAAAAACCTGTCAGCATTTATCTCTTTACAGATCCAGTACAGAGCATGTTACTAATCCTTCCTAAGTTTTCCAGGAAGAAACCTGTTGCCTGCCCTCTCATGTCTTTTTAAGAAGAGGTCACCTTTGCCATGGTTTAACTGAAACTAGGACACCTGTTACACACCTAATAACAAAGCGTGGTTCTGACTTGAGCATAGTCCCATTTTACAATGCCTGATTAAATATCCAATTTTCTAAAATTATGTCTCTTTCTAAAATTGACACATTTAGGTGAACTAGATCTCAAGGATGTTGTTCCTAGACTGCAAGACAAAATACCAGTCAGTGCAGGTTGGCCTGCATGTTTTGTAGCTCTTTCTGAACACTTTGATGGCCATCCAGTTTGGCATCTTCCTTTTTATCCTTAGAGGAGCTGTTGGAGATGTCAAATATGAAAAGTACCAGTGCAGTGGGATGTGACATATTTACCTGTTGAAAAGTTTCTGCTAAATTACTTCGTTTCACCCAAAACAAAATTATTCAAGTCAGTGTGTGTTAAATTTCTGATAAGTTAATAAAATCTCACTCAAAATTTTATGGGCAGAAGACAGTTAGTGTGTAGCCTTTATTGCCAAGTCAAAGTACAGGTGTGGTAGTTTTTGAGTACTCTTTGCTCCGGTTTGCTCCATCTGTCTTAGTTCAGACTGTGTGGAGAGATCACACAGGAGAAACAACCTTCTCTGATTAGTAATCACGTGAATCATTAGGTTTCTGGCAGTGCTTGGGTGTACATAGGTTGAGTGTGTAAAGTAGATGAGATTGCTGACAGGACCTGTTAAATATTTTAAAAATCTGATCTATACATAGTTGTACCAGTACACCACTGACAATGTTAGAACAGCAATTTCAGTAAGTCTTTTCCTTACAGTTGTATTGTTAATTTGGAGAATTAAAGTGAAACAAAATTCAATTTGGTGATTTCTGAGTATTGAGGAACATACTCAATGTTAAATGGCTGTTAAAATAAGTCAGGGTTTGAGACTAGCAAGTAACCATTAGTGTAACTTTGTGGTGTGTCCAGGGAATTATAGGAAACCTGCTGTCTGAGAATACAAAAATTTAAAATTTTGGATGGGGGTGTGAGAAGGAAATTAGTAAGCTATATCAGACATTTAACTGTCTGCTCTTTTTAGGTTGATCCCCAAAAATACAAGAGCATCTTCAATGGATTTTCAGTGACAATCAATGAAGATGGTGTTCGTGGCTTGGCTAAGGGCTGGGCTCCAACTTTTATTGGCTATTCCATGCAAGGGCTTTGTAAATTTGGTTTCTATGAAGTTTTCAAAATCCTGTATGGCAACATGCTGGGAGAGGTAAGCCTTAAATGTTTTTTCTAAAGCTATATGTCTGCAGCATACCAGTATTAGTGATAAGGAGTAATCACAAAAGCATGACTCATTAATAAAAATGTGTGTTTCGATTCCTTTCAGGAAAATGCCTACTTGTGGCGTACTTCGCTATATTTAGCTGCATCTGCCAGTGCGGAGTTTTTTGCTGACATTGCTCTGGCTCCAATGGAAGCTGCTAAAGTTCGTATTCAGACACAGCCTGGATATGCAAACACTCTACGGCAGGCTTTACCCAAAATGTTTGCAGAAGAAGGCATCTGGGCGTAAGCATCCCTTCTTTTTAATTGACATTCTTGATTTTTCAGTACATTTTGTTAATGAAGAACTGGTGCTATAACTAATTCTGGCCTTAGCTTGTAATACTTTTTGTCCTTGTATTTCAAGATAAGAACTTACATACTTCAAGTGATCTGTGCTGAACTGACTGTTAATTCCACATGCTCCTTAGATCCATCTTTGTGAGTATCTTTGTGCTGAGTTCTGCTGGATAACTTCAGTTTCTAGCAGTTCCAGTCAGAGATGCTCAGCAACTTTCTGGTTGTACAGTCAAAGATGCTTGAGTCATTGGCATGTGAGAGTAATCTAACTGCATGTTAGCTTTCTGTTCTGATAGAAGTGGCTGTAGATGTACAGGTCATGTTTCACTATCAGGACTTGGCTGGTATGCAGACATTACCCTTACTGCACTGGTAGTATCAGTACTACATTGCTGCAGTGTATTGTAACCTGAAAAGTGACTAAAGAAACTGCTGTGCAGCCTGGGGATCAGGAAAATTTCAATTGGTGTTGCTGTTTGAAGGTAGTACTTAGGAATTTAAACAACTCTAATTTCTGTAGGTACTGACAGCATTACAGGGTCAATATCTAGAAGTATAGCAGCAATGAATAAGCTGATTTATTTCAGGTTAGAAATACACTTTAAATAATGAAGAAAATGAAACTGAGATTGTCTCTTCTCCGATTAAGTTTCTATAAAGGTGTTGCTCCACTATGGATGAGACAGATTCCATACACAATGATGAAATTTGCCTGCTTTGAACGTACTGTTGAAGCTCTCTACAAGTACGTTGTTCCCAAGCCACGAAGTGAATGTACAAAAGGAGAACAGCTGGTGGTCACATTTGTTGCAGGCTATATTGGTAAGGAATCTTCAAGTTCTACACTTCATTAATGGATTACTGCAAATCTAGAGACCTGTTGCTTTTCAGAGTATTAACTGAAAAGTGACATTAGCAGATGTCACTAACATGGGAGAGCTTAGCTGCAACTTTAAAATGTGCAGGGGAAATAACTATAAAATCAATATTTTAGGGGAAAATGGGTCTGTAATAGGATGCTTCTCTTAACTGCTCCTATATTGTTACCAGTATTGATGGCCAGATTTAAAAACTGCAGCTGATTTCAGTGAAAATTTGCATCTTTCTCAGTCTTGGGAATCTTTGGATGGAAGGGGGGAATTTTCAATATCCAAAGACTCAGAAGTTTTTTCTGGCTGTTCTCTTCTGTTAGGAAGTTTCAGCTGGTTGTACTTAGTGTACACAGTAGTGGTACAGCTAAATCACCTCAGAACTAATGTCAAATTATTCTTTCAGCTGGTGTGTTCTGTGCAATTGTTTCCCATCCTGCTGACTCCGTGGTGTCTGTGTTGAACAAAGAAAAGGGCAGCTCAGCTTCACAGGTTCTTATGAGGCTTGGATTCAAAGGTACATTCTTTCTATGTATTTTGAATCAAGTGTTTCTGGTGTTTAGGGGAGGAGGTATTTTTTCATGCCATTTTATGCTGCTCATGCTTTATGGTTTGCTCTCCAGGTGTATGGAAAGGTCTGTTTGCTCGTATCATTATGATTGGTACCCTGACTGCACTACAGTGGTTCATCTACGACTCTGTCAAGGTTTATTTCAGACTTCCTCGCCCACCTCCACCTGAAATGCCAGAATCTCTGAAGAAGAAGCTTGGTCTAACTGAGTAGACAACTCATGGACTGACTGCTGGCTGATCCAGTGATGAGTTTCATGAAACTTTTATATATTTGACTATGTAGAAAACAAACTATACAATGTCATTATTGGTTATGCCCTCATCTTACCTGAGGGTTTAAATTCTACCACTGTCATTTGCCTGAAATAAATGAGAAACAGAGTGCTTAGTGTCCGTTTACTACTGCATATGTAAGCTTCATTTCATAGTAGCAAATACCTCAAATACTCTCCTGGCTTCCCCCTCTCCCACCCAAAAAATTAAAAAAAAAATACCCTCTTCTACACTTTAGAGAAATATTACTCTTCCACTTAAAATTAGGTTTGCACTGTTTTCCAGAGAAGTGCCAAGAACCTGTCCTTGCACTTGGAGCCCACTGATCATTTGCCTGTAATAAGCTGTTACTGTGGAACAGTTGAACTCCTGAATGGCTGAGATGAGACTGGAGTCTGATTTGGCATCCTAGTCATGATATCAGTGTTTCCCACAGAGATAAAAGGAACCTTATGCGTGCTAGAGCTGTTTCTGCCTTGGGATGGTCATCCCAACGTAACTTATGCTTACTTGACTAATGTCTGCTTCTGTTGGCTTGAAACCACACCAAAGAACTAGGCCCTTCTGATTGTCCTGTGGAATTAAACAGTAGTTGCTACCTCTTAACTAAAGAAAAGCTGATGTTAATAAAGATTTTCAAATATATTTGACTACTAATTGTGTACTTCAGCTTTACAATGAAATAAAAATGGCTTGTCTTTTATTCTAGAGTTTGAAAAACTTGCCAGCTTTTCCCTACATTTGCTACAGCTGTAGTTTTTTATTTCAGTTATTTTTTTCTGAATTAGTGAATTATGGTTGAACCATGTATTTCTGCAACACAAGGAGCCATACCAGGTTTTTTGGACCTTGATGTGAAGAAATACATGCTCCTCAGCACACAAGAGGAGACAATTAAGGCAATGTTAAGGTATTTATTTTTGAATCTTTTTCTCAAGTGAAGGGAGATGGTGTTGCCTTGTGCATTTCACCTGTTCTATAACCCACAGTTGTTAATCACTACACCCTCTCCAGTACTACTTTGCTCACAAAGTAGAGCTGGAGCTGACGTGGTTTTTTTGCACTACTGTGGATAGGCTGCCTTACAGCATGTGAGCTGTTGATACTGAACTTATTTTGGCACTTATGTTATACTGCTTCTTCCTCTTTACTTGGCTCCTTCAGAGCCAAAAGGACAAGTCAGGCAGGTGCCATTAGAATATCAAATGTAATGACTGCTGCATCTTGCTGGAGTCAGATGTGCCTGCTGTTGTAGCACTGAGCTTCTCACCCCCTAGGAAAATCCTCCAACTTCCAAGATTTTCAATGATTATGCTAAACAAGAAAGCTGGGCCTTATTTTGAATTGTTGCCTTTCAGAACGCAGAGTAAAAGCTAGAATTATACCTTTATCCTGTCACCATGACAGTAATAAAGGTACTGTTAGATGGGCTGGTATCAGCCTGTATTACACAGCAAAGTCAAATTTAGACCCTAAGTCTAAATAAAATACTTGTACAAGTACCTTGTTGTTGAATTAAAATTATCTAATGCTAAAAGTATGTAAATCTTGTTTCCCCATGGTGAATGGGAAGCTCTGAAATTATTTGAGTCATTAAATACTTATAAGAGCTTCCTTGGAGAAGGGCCCTTACTATGAGGGTTGTGTTAAGACTGATGATGTTAAATCACCTTCTGAAGTAATGTGTATGGTACAGCTTGCTAGGCAAAACTCACTTTTGTGTACTGAATATCAGTTTCTTTAGAGGCATGTTTTAACTCAGTAGATTTTTCTTTGTTTGCTGAAAGTTCCTTCTAATCCTGGGGAAAGTGAAGAACTGTCAGATTTTAAGGCTGGCAGAAGAGTGTGACAAGCTTGGCTCATGTAGTGAGGTAGTCTGAAATAATCTAGTGCTGAGCTAAATTACTCAAAATTCTCATTGTGTATGTGGAGCAAAATCGCACAATTTTTCTCTAGGACTGAGTCAATGTTGCACAATTGTTACAAATACGTACAACAAGAAGAGACTCTCTTCTTATTTCTCACCAGTAGATCTGGAACTATCCTTTAAAGATGCTTAGATAATTTTATCAAGGTGGATCTAAGACTACAAGGAGCAGCCAGCAGTACCTCTTCTGTAACTGAGAAAGGGAAAATACACTTAGTGCTCCTTGCAGTGTTGTATTTCAGTGGAAAACCCAAGAGGGGGAGAGAATTGCCTTGCAGCTGCCAGCTTCATTGACATTCAGCCATAGGATTGTTCAGATGCTTATTAGGAAAGGGTGTTGCTTAAAGGGTTGCCTGCTGGTATTTTAAATAAGCTTCAGTGGGAAAAATGTGGTATTAAAATGCATTTAAAAGGTCAACTTTGTCATTGATAACTGCTTTGTGCATAATGCCTGGTACATTTTCTGAAGGTTGAGATGGAGCAATGTTGCTTTTGGTGGATTTGCACTTCCATTGCAAGGAAAGTCCTGTATCCAAAAGCGGTACCCCATTTTGAACTTAGGTAACTCCAGACCCATCAATAAACCCCAAAGTGCTCTGTAAAACGTGGATTATGTATATGCTGCTTGTGTATATTTTATGAAGGAGAAAACATACTTTCTTGCTGGTTTTGGAGCTGAGATGAGCTTTCTGTTTTAAAGCATACCGTATATATAAACTTGGAGCAACAACTGCATTTGCACACGGTGTTTGTATCAGGTTGTACTACGGATGAAATGTGCTGACACTCACTGATACTCGTGGAAATGTCTGTTGCATATCATTTTAAAATGGGCTGTAATAATACTATACTTGTAACTCATTTACATTTTTACATAGAAATGATGTAGTTCACAGTGAAAACAATAAACATCCTGCTTTTTTATAGCAAATATGAGTACCTTGGGTAGATGAGCTTAATAGCTGCATGGCTTTGTTACAGAATACAATTTTTGTAACTCAGTGCTAGGGAGAAAGATAATGCTAGCAGACAATTCTTGGCTGAGCAGATGTTCTGGTGTCTAAAAGTAGATTTTATTCTTTTGGGATTAATTTGCTCATGTAATTTTTCATTTCTGATAATTTTTTTTTCCTTTCAATTGGCCAGTTTTGTACCTGAAAGCTAAATTAAAAGCAAAGATGGCCTGGATGTCACTACAGTTTGGGCTCAATGGGATGATCTGTTTTAAGTGACATAGCTGTAATTTTCATTATTACCTGAATCTCTCAATCATTTGATAAAATTGCAGAGTATCACTGCATGACCCTAGAAATGGACAAAGGGGTTGTAGTTTCACTGAGCCGATACTTTCCCCACCACTGACTACTAAAACAAGGAGGTGAGGTTACCTGTCTGCTTTAAATTTTTGAAAAATACCTCACTCTCTGCTCACCTTTTCCACTGTAAAAGAAGCTCTCTGCCTCCCTGCTTAGAGCAGTCTAATTATAAAGCTACTATAAAACTCCTGGTTTTTTAGTACAGTGGAGATGTGTGCTTGAAGGGCAAATAAAGGTTTGTAATACCTGTGTGGAATATGGAGAATTTCCGATCGCTCGCCTTACTGCTGAGGTCAGTACAGTGTTGTGACAACTTGAGATACAGATTATTCCAAAATATTTTTTCCAAGTAAACTTTACCTTTGTGACTTAATTTTTTTGTCTTGCTTGCAGCAAGAATAATTTCTGAGAGGATTATCCTGGGAAGTAAGGGTAGGAAGTCTGCATACATCTAAAGGGAAAGGGAGCTGAATGGTCTTGTAACATTTTTTGCATGTTTAACTTCCCCTGGAGACCACGCACAGGACTGTACACTCAGCTTTTCACTGGGAGACGTGTTCTAGAATTTTGAGGTTGAAAATTAAATCCACAGTTGTTTATCCTGGCTTGTTTTCTGGTTACTGTTCCAAGGAGCAAGTGCACTCTTTTCATGCAGACAGACCTCTGCTGTCTCGAGGCTGCTCAGATTAACTGTGCAGCTGGAATGTATTTTTTTCCACGTGACTTGTGTAGATGTTGCTCTACCGGTTCTCCAGTTCTGCCTCTCCAGATTCTTACTGGCTACTGACCACAAATGATGCATTCATAAAATTGAAAGCAAAGTGAATAAAATGACTGTAGCCTGTGATGCCTTTAATCCACAATATATTTATTATGTAACCCTCAACCCCTAAGGTGTATGTGCATGTGTACATACATTGCTTCAGGTATGATAGGCAATGCATACTTTACCATGGCTGTTCTTTAATTTTGCTGCCTCCTTCAAATACCATTTGGTTATTTTCAGGAGCTCACTTAAGAATTGTGTGGAAGAGCAAAGGGACAGGGGTTGGTAGAGTATCTGTGGATGCTCCTAGGAAAACTTGTCTTTTGACAGGTTTCTCTTGCCATCTGCCAGGTGGACTGGAAAGGGGTAGAAGAAAGGGAGAGATAGGAATGAACCTATACCAAAAAGAGGAAAACTTTAAACTAAGTATTGGAGGTTGTCTGTGGGCAAATGAACCAAAGAAGGTAGAGGACCAGCAACATGAAGCAGACCAAAAGACATGGAATGCTGAATGAGGATGAAAATAGTGAGCAAGAGGAATGTTTGCATATTCCATACAATCAAGAGTCTAGTTGCAAGATGTTAAGGTATGGCCAGCTGAAAAGTTATAAAGGCCTTACCCTATTACTTACACTTCTTGATATAATTTCATTTACAGGGATTTTATGAGTTGCTGTATTGCTTCTAATTGATATTTATAGCAACTTCTATTCCTATTTAATGCTCTTCTCTTCCCCCACCTTCCTCTGTTAAAACCATTCCCACTATCTTGTTACTGCCTACTTCATTTTCAAATGTTTCAAATCTTGTTCTTCAGTACCTAAATAGTCCCAGTAGTTCATATTAGTAGCCTTTTGGAATATAAGCAGCTTCTCGTTGCTAATTCTGCTGCTCACTATAGTATTTTACAGACCAAGAAATAATGAATGACTGTTAGGATTCCTGAGAAGATACTGTGACACTGGGATAAAGCCATCAGCAGCATTATTAGGTCTTTCAGAGCATTGTCCCTACAGAGCATTCTGTGTTTTAAAGACAGAATGGTGCTGCAGAGTAATTTTGATTTACAATTATAAAGCCTCACACAAAGCCTTACACAAATTATTCCATCTAAATGTGTGACAAACTTTCTGGAAGGCATCAGCAATATTTATGAGCATTTCTTGCTTTGCTGCATTTACCTTGTTAAATATTATTTTAAAAAGAAACTAGTTTACAAAAATCATGGAGTGAATAGAGACAAAGTGCTACTGCTGTTGGACTACCTCTTGTTTAGCTGGAAACCACTACTCTGTTCTTCCCCTTGCAGCAGGAAAGTGAAACTGGAATCTGTCATTCTTGGGTTCTGCTTTCTTCATGAAAGCAAGCTCTAAAGCTAAGAACATAATTTTATACTTTAACACTGCTTTATTGTACAAAACAAGCAATTTATTAAAAATGGCATCTCTCATTCTTCAGAAAGAAAAATACATGCAAAGAGGTACTTTTTTTGTTCACATCATTATCTCTCCCTTGAAGCAAGTATGACTTTTTCCTCTCCTGTTCAAAAGAATAGGACAAATTTCAGGTTTAGGTGTGCTTCTAAATGAAGCCTTTAAATATTGTCTGTCTTCTCAATACTACACACGATGGGAGTTCACACCACTCAAACACTATTCTTTAGGCAGTGGCCTTTCAATGATCAATTAATGTCTGAAATCTTGGTTATTTCATCTTTCACATCCTTGATCTCGGTTTGAACTCTTGTTAGATTGGCCAATTTCTCATTCAGTAAAGCAATTCCCTTCTCCCGTTGTAAGACCTCCTCCACTAATCTTCCTATTCTCAGTGTTAGGTCATTTATTAAGGGCTCCAAGATGGCAAACTCCTTTTTAACTTTGTACATTTTAGGTTTTAAATCATTTGCAAATGTAACTGTCTTCAGAACTTTTGCTCTGTCACCTTCAAGATTCAAAAGTCTATTGGAATGCTTGTTAAAATCGCTACTTAAGTCAGACAGAGCTGCCTTAATTTGCTCGATTTTCCTTGCGTTACTGGATGCCAGGCTTTGTATTTTCATACTTCTGTCGATGCTGCTGGTAAGGAGGTCACCTATATTTTTTACTGTTGCCTTTTCACCTTTTTCCACTTTATCTTCTAGTGTTTGCAAAGAATCTGTCAGTGCAGTGATGTCCGAGACCAGGCCTGAAATGCGCCTTATGTCAGTTTTTACTGTCACAATTGTCAATGTTACATTTTTTGCTACAGAAGCTGCATTCTGTTCAGCGCTTGAAACTGCATGAAAAAGACTTGTTAAATTCTTCTCCAGTTCTTCTTGTTTTTTAATTATGCTGCTAGACCATGTTTTCATTGTATAAATATCTTCCTGCAGATATTTAATGTGAGAAATTATTTGAAGATCTTCCAGCTGTTTCATTAAGTTCCAAGTCTTTTCACACTAGAGGGATACAAAAATATTTCTAGCTTAACAACTCAATGTCAAAATTCAAGCTATACTTTAATGAAATATCTTACTATTCTGACATTCAATTTGAATGCAAACCCTATCTCTAGGAAATCAATTTCTGTTACAACACAAACAGATTTTTTTTTTCTTGTCAGTATACATAATAAATATTAGTACTTCTTCTATTACAACAAAAAATTACAAGAAGGTGCTATATGACTTTCCAAGGTGACCTCTGAAAACACAAGTCAGCAAATGGAATCTTCTTCCATACAACAGAATTTTTTAAGTCTCCATAAAAGCTATTTTAGTGAAGGAAATCCAGCTACTAGTGAAGGAATCCAGCTACTGCTGGATTTTTGTCTTGATTTGCACTCTTTTATATTTATTTTCTTATAATTGGTTCTTAGTTTTCAAATTTGAGAGGAAAAAGGAAATTATCTGAGTGATGCTACCCAGTTCAATCCCCAGTAAGTCAGGGTAGAACTTGGAGAGGAAAAAAAAACACCAAACAGGCAAACTGAAACACATTCTACGAGGCTAGAATTAGTTTCATACTAATCCTTTTCTGAACATTAGTAGTAAAAATATCATCACAGAAACCAGTATTTTTAGCTCTTCAGTAGTGCTGGTCGTTCCTCAACGGCTCAGAACCATTTGCTCAAAAGCAAAAGACCAAAATTTAGGTTGTGGAAAGTTGTGCTTGTTTCCTACTTAATGCCCTCCAAGGATGAGGATTTAATGTTGAAGCTCCTGCACATCCAGCTTTCAGTAGGGTTCAGGTGGATGAAAGACATTAGACTGGGGATCTGTCACTCCCACACCCTGCCTCAAAATAATACAAAGTAGAAACACTAGAACTGGAACACACTTGTGAAAAGTATTTAAAAAACATTGCTTTATATAATAGTTTTTCCTAATAGGACACGGAACATTCAAGTATTTACTCTGTACCCTTTCTGGAGGAACAGTTTATTTTGAATTAGATTATTATGCATCAGGACATGGAACTTCACTACAATATATTTTTATTTTGAATATCACTGTAAACAGAAATTTATACAAAAACAACAATTATATGAAACCAACACAGCTTTATAACATTGAGAAACACTGGTTTCATAGTCTTTTGAATGGGCAGTGTTACTTGTTTAGTGAAGATTTCAGTGGAGTTATAAAGAAATTAATGTACAAACCCAGAATACTTTAAATTAGGTCTGATTAAGTCATAAATGTGTGTTCATACTGTTTCTAAGCAATCTCCTTTCCAGAGAAATACAAAATTATCAAGACAATAAGTCTGCAGACAATTTGTGCTGTCCCTGAGATCCAAATTTCATTGAACATCTGTCAGGCTTACTAGATAGTATTACATCATGTGTAAGTAGGTCTATGGGTAAACTGGATATTCCCTGCTCCCAAGCACCTAACTCCACTGATTTCATTAATTACTTCTGCAGCTCTTGGTTCAGCAAACTTTGGGAAACAATGTCAGTGACATTGTTAATTTTTTTTTCTTTTCAAATGCAAAGCAATACAGGACATGTGATGCCAAATAAAGAACATCCTACAGAAAAAAAGGTTAAAAGGTTAAAATTTGTTTATAAAGCACCAAAACAGCCACCCCCCCAAAAATGAAATCAAACCAGCTGCTATGTAAATGCCAGCTTGTAGATACCAGAACAACACAAGGCTCTCAGCAGGGGGTACTTTCCTAGTGTTTGCTCTAAGGGTGCTGGATCTGAGCTTCAGCTGATAAAAATGTACTCAGTGCTTTCCTGCAGCACGGAACCATTATGGTGCACAACACTTTAAAAGCAAGGTACAGCTATCTCAGCTGAGAAATAAGTGATTAATTGTTCACTGAGTTACAAGTCTGTGGAAAATAATACACAATGTAACAACAAAAGAAACTAAGTACTGAAAGCTAAATACAAACTAAAAATATGTACTTTTTTTCCCTTAAATCAAAATACTTGGCTTCAAATTATTTTTAATAAAAAAGATCTTTTAATAAATAAACTGAAAATAATCCTTAATTTAAGAAAATATTCCTTTCCTTCTTTAACAAAGTATTACTTTCTTGCTCTCTACCCTCTTTCTCAACTTTTCAAGCTGTTCCAACGATCTTTAGATCAATGATGGTACATCAGCTATCCCTGACATAGATTTAAATCACATTATTTATAAAAAAGTGCTTTTTCATCAATGAAAAACCTAAGACCAAATTCACTTATCCCCATTCTGGTCATTTTCTAAGTTAAAGCTTTCTGAAGTTACTTCTTCTGCTTTTGAAGATACTGCTGTGTCAGGCCCTGTTTCTAGAACAGGTAGTTCATGCTGCACTTTGAACAAGCTGCCATTGGACTGGAGGCCTTCAAGAGCCTTCTGCATGGCCACTGTATCAGAAACAGTTTTCAGCATGTCATTTTCCACAGTGTACACCTGTGTCTTCAAGTCCTGTATCTTTTTCTCCATACCAAGCAAGTCACTTGACAACCTAAGAATAGAGTGAATAGCATTTTCAATTGTTGGCAAATGGGTCTTGCACTCCTCAATTTTAGGTTCATAGTTTGCAAGTTTCTGACTCAGGTCTGTGTCCTTGGCTACCAGACTACTCTGTTCTTCTTCTAGCTTTTCAACTGACTTTGCATCCAAGTTCAACTTTTGTTCAATTCTAGAGAATTCATCATCTTCTTGCGTTTTTAGTGTTCTGATATTTCTGGCTGTACTGTCTTCCAAATCTCTTACTCTTTCTGAAAGGGATTTAATTCTTTGGTCAACTTCATTAATTTTGGAAGTAACTTCTGTATGTATGAACTTTGCTTCAGATTTTAAACCACTAGCATTTGTGCTCATTTCATCCAGGCTTCTTCTCCAGGAATTTGTAACATTTTGGAACTTCTCATTAATGCTCTGCATCTTTAGAGATAGAGTCTGTTCATTGTCCTGAATATCATTTATGGTGTTATGAAGAGAAGATATTTCCTGCCCAAACTCAGTCATCACAGAGATGGATGAGGCAGCTTCTCGCAGGATACTTTCAGAAGACTCAAGCTGCATTTACAACACAAAACAATGTCTGTGTCTACTTAACAAAAATAACAACAGAAAGCCATTTCCAAGTATTAAGAGATAATGAAGTCCCTTAAAAACCACTGTACTTGTTACAAAGCTCCTCCATGCCGCGTTTTCATGTTTCCTCTTTAAAATATTTTTGATTAACCTAGCATGAAAAAGTCACGGAAAAAAGGTATGTCTGTTGTTGAATTTCTACAGCATATAAGCAATTTTACATGCTTGGGTTTTTTTTGTGTCCAAAATACAGTAAATCCCATGCAACATTCTGCAATCTGAACTACAGTATATAAATATCCACATTACATCATCTATAAATTACGTTATTCTGAGATCAGTGCTGAAACAAATCACTGGCATGAGCCATGCTGTGCTACCATCAATATCTGTAAGGTATCAGGGATAATTTGGCAGCCAGCACAGCTTTTCTACTGGATAATGTCACACATGGTAATATCTTTTTTCGTTACTATTCTATTTTCTTATCTATCACTTTATTATATCTTCATATCATTAGGCCATCATTTTCTTCAAATCAATGTATGTGAGAATCACACATGAAAGAGGATTGGTAAAATGAAATGTGTATGTACGTAAGTTCTTAAAAATAGTTTAGTTTCTAAAAAATCATACTGAGATACAACCACTGTGTCCACATATGGAACAATGGCATGGATTGACATGCTTTGTCACATGAAATAGTCTCTAAATGCCTATTCACAGGCAAGTAAAACACATTCTGAAAACTTGTTTTAAAACAGGCAGTTAAATTAACAAAATAACAATGAAGTAAGCCATGGCAAATATTCACCAAAGATCATCAAATTAAGACGTTAATTATTACCTTTTCAGAAATTAAGTTTACTTTATTTCCCACATCCAGGATTTTTTCAGCTTCTTGATGTAAAAAATTGTACTTTCTTTCCAGATCAGCAAATTGACCTGACTGCTGAAATAGAAACCTGCAAATTTCAAGTAAATAAACAGAACACATAACTTCTTAATTAGTACATATTAAGTAGTCCAGCAATTGATTCACAGCAAATTGTTAATGGAGGGATTTGTGTTCACAGAATTTGCTAGATCAATACATAACAGGAAAAAAAAATTAATGAAATTGATCTCTCTTGATACTGGAGTTATCTTCTAAAAGAGGTATGACAATAAGTCAGCATTCCATAGCACTGCATGCTAAGGTAACAAAGGCACTGATGCTGCTAAGATACTTTAAAACATTTTTAACAAAGGTATTTGACCTTTACTTAAGGACTCCACCTGATGAACGGTTTGTTACACTGCTGAGCAAATTATTTACAGAAAACTCCATTTCACTTCTCCTGTCCATTTATTGTCTGCCAAAGGAGCACTTCCCGTCAGCCTAAGTTGCTCTCCAGGCAGATGCATTCTCCAAAGCAGGTATTTAGAATTCATGAGCAAGGCACCTTCAACCTGATGTAACAGATGGAGCTTCTACAGTAACACGGCACACCCATGTTTCCATGCTTGCCAATGCTGCTACTCTTTCCTGGATCCTTCTGGCTCTAACAAGTTTCTGTAGACACTTAACCCAAGCACTCTGTTAACATGTAAATCATACAGCCCACAGAATACAAAAGAAAATGCTAAAATCCTCTTTAGAGAGTTACCTACCAGCTCACCACCAGGCAAACAGCAAGGGAAATGATACTCAGACTTGTCCTTGAGTCCATCCAAAAGGAACTGTGATTATTGCTGGTCCTGGGACTTGCCAGCTTCCCATAATTACTCTGCTTCTCAGCCTTCTGTGAGCCTTCACTGCTCTTGGGTGAAGAAATACCTTTTTTCCTTGGCTTAACTTCAGACATTTTGTGGTTTTAAAAAGCAGAAGCAAAGGAGAGAGCTAGAGAAAAAAAAACCAGAAAGGACTAAAAGGACTAGTTTTTACTCCTTACATTTTACTTTTAACCATCCTCAAACATTAAGTACACAAATACACCCCAAAAAAAATGTTTCTTTTGGTGTTCACTATGCTTCCTAGTTATGTGAACTTTTGTAAAGTATCATATTACTTTCATTTGCTTTCTATATTACAGAGCACTGCTTTCATATTTTCTCCAGCTGAGCTGACTTTCCAAGCTTAAGCTAACTTCATCTTTCCAGAAATATTTCATGTGCTGTAGAATAAGCTATTTTAACTATGTATTTAAAATTACAAAGATTAAAAGTATATTTCTTTTTGTAGCTGATGACTGTCACAAGTTCCTCAGCAATTTCACTGATAAACTTGCTTTTTACCTGTAGATTTAAAAAATAATTATTACCTACACCACACTAAAAGGGGAAAGTTAATTTTTCAATTTAAAAAATAAAATTGCAAATCAAGCTTTAATTTAGTAGTTCTGTTGTAACAATTTCATGTCATCTGTAATATCACAAATGTTGATTAACAAAAAATCATGATAGAAAAATTCAGAAGATTCATGAAATCGTGTCTCTAGAAAAAAAGAAAAGCTATAACTTCCTCTTGATAAAATTAAGGTCAGAATAGATTGAGGCAATATGAATCTCCAGCTCATATTTTAGCCATCCAAGTGAAGTACAGAGTGTAGTTTTTAAGCCTAAAATCTTCCATCACACTGCTCAAAAATAGCCTTGATCCTTGACAGAATTGCTTTAGCAACAAATTTTGAGACCAAACTGTTGTGCTAGTTTTTTGGATCACTTTGCAACAATGGCGCTTAGTCACATACCAAAATATAAATATTTGGAGATACTTACATAGTCATGTACAGGGGTAAAAGGTATTGTTAAAAATCTAATGTGTCATGCAGGTAGCTTAGAGCTGTTTGAGCCACAGTACTAGGAAGCACACTCTGAGCTTGAAGCATGGAGAAAAAAAAAGCTTTTCATTTCCAAAAAAAAAAAAAAAAAAAAAAAAAAAACAAAACCAAAAAAACCCCACCAAAAAGCCCTACAAAAAAACACAAGCAAAAAATAAAACCCAAACAAAAAAAGCCACCGAAACAGAAAAATTGTATTCTGAAGCTTTTAAAACAGCTTTGGGCTCGAGAGCACAAATTATGAAGTTAAAGTGGAGGAAAAAAAAAAAAAAAGAGCTCTGAATAGTAGTTAGGAAAAGAGTTTAACAGAGATAAGCTACGCTTTGAAAGGACGGCTTCAGCGCGCACCCGGTGCTGTGCAGAGGGATGAGCCGCAGCTCCCCAGAGACCCTTCGGGACCGCTCCGCTCCCCAAAGTGACCGGCTGCCCCTCGGCTCCCCCAAAGTGACCGGCTGGCCCTCGGCTCCCCCAAAGTGACCCACGTCCCCTGCGCTCCCCCAAAGTGACCCACGTCCCCTCCGAGCCCGCCCTGCAGGACGCCCCCAGCCCCAGCAGTGCCGCCTCCCATCTCCCCCTCCCCTGCGGCCACTGTCCCGTACCCGCCGCGCTCCTCCGGCCTCAGCTGGGGGCGGAGGCGGGCAGGGGGCCCAGCCCCGCAGGCACCACGTTTACAGGCCCCAGGGCCCCTCCCCTGGCCGCGGCTGGAGCATCGCCGCCCGGAGCGCCACGTCCGGGGCCCGCCCGCCGCGGGCAGCGATCCCGGCGCGTACAGCCGGGACTCGGCGGCTCCGCGCCGGCGCGGGAGGCAGCCGGGGCTTTGTTCGGCGGCGAGCGGGCCGGGCCGGGCCGGGCCGGCCCTTCCCTTCCCCGCCCAGGCCAGGCCCGGAAGGAGGAAGCGCTCCCGGCACCGCCTTCCCGGGAGCTGCAAGGCTGTGCCTCGGGGCTCGGCGGGGCTCGGGAGCGGTAGCTGCCGGGGCTCCGCGCTGCCCGCCAGGTGAGCGGTGAGCGCAGGGACGGACCGGGCCGGGCCGGGCCGTGAGGCGTTCCGCCGGGGCAGGGTAGGGGTCGGCGGGCGGGCGGTCTGAGCGCCTCGGTTTCTGTTTCTTTGGCAGCTGGCAACAGCGGCTCGGTGTGAGTTAACTCTTTGTTTTGTGTGTTTGTGGAGCGATTTCTTCTGTGTTTGCCTCGCGTGCGGCAGTATTATTATTGTTATTATCCGTTTTTCGTCTAGGGAGCTTTAGCGTTCCTTTTCCTCCGTGGTGCGGTGGGATAAAGGTAGGGTGGAAGGCTGTCTTAACTACGTATTTTTTTGTGAAAATAGGAAATTCTGTCAGCACAGCGGAAGAGGCACTCCATCGCGGGTTTATCCAAAGGCAGCTGTTCTACATCTAGCCAGCTCCTGAGAGTGCTGGAAAAGGCGAGCGCTTCTGCAGGCACCTGCATGGGTGCTCTGTGGAGGAGTTTGGACTTGTTTATGGAGCTTTCCTGACAGGAGTGGGATCGGAGAGAGCGTTTTGGTCGATTGGGACTCTGAGTCGCTGATCAGTTCTGGGAAACCTTTATGCCGTAGTCAATAGTTTTCACCTGTTTTCTTCAGACATTTGGTTTTTTATGATATGGAGGGAGAATGCAAGTTTGGAGTTGCGTGTCCTAATGCTGATAAAGGAACGTGCAGCACAGTCAGTGACAGTGTTGAGTGCTCCCTCTTCCATCATATCCAAGTGTCCTTTTATGGAGGCTTGAACTTGGAGACAACAGTGTGTTTATCCTGTGCAGTGAGACCAGTCCTCTTTCTCATCCTGTTATCCCAATCATATGATCCAAGGACTTAAAAAAAATTTGAAAGATGTAGTGAGTGGGGAGAAGACCTTTCAATAGAGACATTTAGCAAGACACTAGTGTATAAGAAGCTTGTAGTCTTTGGTTTTGTAGTTCTGAAAGTGTTCGTAAACATAAATTCATAGGAATGGGAAAAAGAATTTGTATTTTCAGAATTAGCTGGTGCTTTGCTACTCTTTCTGATTTTAACACCAAAATTTCTAAGCTGTACTAAAGCTTCTTTCCTCATGCTTGTAAGTTATGTTCCCAGTCTGACTTGACTCCTCCCCCTCCCACTCTTTTTCACACTGAAGAAACATGGATGTCAGGAGTAGAAACTATTTGCTTATGAATCGTCAAGCACTGGAAAATGACATCAAGACTTCCTATATTATGGATCGTATGATTTCTGACGAAGTACTGACATTACAGGAGGAGGAGAGAGTGAAGCAACAGGTAGGATTATCTCTCACTGCTATTTCTCTTCCTAGGTTACTCACATATTTTACCATCCTTTTTAAAAACAGTAATTTCTGTCTAACTCCTGGATTTGTCAAATTCCAGCACACAGTTTTTGTTGCTCTTAATAAGGTTAAGGGCTTGGTAAGTTAAAGGCTATTTCTATAACTATAAATTACAGAGTCTATAATTTATAGAGTGATATACTAAATGATTTCTGAGGTTGCTTTGTTTTGTATAATACCTCTTCTATTTTTTTTTCCTAGAATACACGGAAGGAGCGAGCAGCTATGCTAATAAATATTATTCTTACAAAAGATAATAATTCATATAGATCCTTTTATAATGCACTGCTCCATGAAGGGTACAAAGATCTTGCTGCACTTCTTCAGGATGGCATCCCTGCCGTCTCCTCTGGTAACAGAAAGAGTTCAATGGATGGAATGACTTCCTACGGTCAGTGTAACTACAGCAATCCCTCCGCTTGAGTGTGAACACAAGCTGTCTTGTTTATTCCTTAGAAAGTGACTATGTGTAATACCTGTTCCAATGAAAAAGGAGCAGTTGGTACATTTGTTTGTTTTGGTAGTGTAGTAACTATGTCTGTTTCATCTGCTTAACATGGCAGGAGAGTTACAACAGTTACAATTTTTATAGGTCATCTTGAAAATGTTCATATTGAATAATGCTGATTTTAAAAGGCAGAAGAACTGACGCTCTTACAGTTTTCTCTAATTTGTAACATTTTCATTGTAAGTGAAAGGAAGACTCTCATTTGCATGTATTAAAAGAAAAACTTGTAGCCTCCAAAATTCCCATATTTATCTTGAAGAGTAATCTGGAATCTCTCAACTTACATTGGTCTAGTTGATAATTGATTAATTGATCTAATTATTAGGTTACTTAATTCTTTCCACCAGATCTCTTAATTACCCTATATAAGTTCCATAACTTTTGCCTGCATTTTCATCAGTATCATCTTTGACTGACATGAAATAAATGTGTAGTTTCTAATGGGCAGAACCTTCTAACTGCATATGACTAATTGCCATATTTACTGGCACTCCGCATTTAATAAGTGTCAAAGGCATGTGGAGTTCAAGGCTATCTTAGATAATCAAAGTTTATCAGTTGTGTCAGTCCATATGGCCACAAAGAGAGCAGATGAAGTGCACGTTTCCTTTCCTTTTATGCTTTACCTCTTTCAAGTCGTGCTATCTCAGCTAAATCAATGGAAGTCTTGCTTGGACCCCAGTGCTGTGCTGTGAACTGCCAAGGAAAAGCCTTACACAGCACCCTTTCTTTTCTGCTGCATCCATGGTGGGGTGACTTCTGGCTGAGAAAGTGACTTGTTTGTTTGGGATAGTGATGTTGAGCTCTGTGTTTGCCAGTTTCCATGGGAGATGTTAATTCTCTCTTCACTTCTAGGGATTAACATAACAAGCTCTCCTCATGCAGTTATTAATTTGAACACTGTTTTAGGTAGGGGGCTAGTTACATGCTCAGTAATTTATTCCTAAAAACCAGTATTTTTTTAGTACTTGATGTTTTGAATCCAGCAGGTTTTAGGGCATTCTTGTGGGACATGAGGTGGGGAGGGAGCCCACTAGTTATTTTGGGTGAAGAGTTGTTTGGTTGGGTTTGAAGAGGCATCACATTTAGAACTCATGTTTTATTTTGATGTTTCTTGTTCTTAACTTTAGTGAAGACCATTCTCTGCGAAGGGGGCGTACCACAGAGACCAGTTGTGTTTGTCACTCGACCAAAACTGGTAGATGCTATTAAAAAGAAACTGTACTGCTTGGGAAGTGACCCAGGTTGGGTCACAGTTTATGGAATGGCAGGCTGTGGGAAGACTGTTTTAACAGCAGAAGCTTTAAGGGATCCTCAGCTCCTGGAAGGTATTTTCAGAAAAACATTTGTATTTTTATAAAAATCACTGTAGATACACACATGTTGGACATGTATGGTGCAATATCATATGTCACCTTGGAAGTGTTTTGGATTTCTAAATTTCTTAGGTGATTCTGAAATATTTGCTTGCAACATACAACTTTCATAACCATTTAGTGGTCTAGGACCACTGAGTATTTAATGAATTTGTAGAAAAAGCTTTGAATAGCTTTTCACCATAGAATCTGCTTTGGTTTATGAGAGTAGATGCATCCTTAATTAACTTGAAATTGTTATTTCTGTTAGTGCAAAATAATATATCTAGTTATTTTCCTTTTGGTCATTGCTTGTAAGGTCCTCAGACTCCTTGCTATGTGAATTTTAAAAAATTTTTTTCTTACTTTTGCATAGATTTTAATAGTAGCAGGCATTTGTGGGTGATTAGTATTGCCTTAGTTTAAAGTAGGTCATAGATGCAACCATATAATGGCATTTTTTCTCTTTTATTTATTTTTCCTTGCATAGGACACTAGGAGGAGAAAGTAGGACTTGGCAGTAACGAAAAAAATTATGTAGGGATAGATACTATAGCATCCTCTGCTACAGCTGACTCTTCTAGATATCTGCTTGATCACTGTTTCAGGGTCATTTTTACACCCCAGCCTCTGAACCATTGCAGTACTACATGGTTAAAAATGTAAATGGTAGGTCAGACTAGCAGAAAGATGGATGCAGAAGGGTCTGTGGAGGCACAGGAAGGAGGATGTCTAGAAAGGAGGGACAACAGCATCAGTGATGGTGTGAAGTTTCTGTGGGTACTTGCCCTACAGAGTCTGTTCCTTTAAAAATAAACAGGCATGGCCTTGTAGAACCACCCTTTGGTGTTAATAGTAGAGTTGCAAGGATGGCTTGCAACATATTTTAGAGGTTTGTGAATGCTGACTTACTACTGTAAGTTGCTATAAAATATTTAAAATTATTTAAAATGTATAGCGTGATTAGTATTGCTGTTCTTGCTAGATTACTTTCCAGGAGGAGTTCACTGGATCTCTGTTGGGAAACAGGACAAAGCAGGGCTGCTCATAAAACTTCAGAATCTCTGCAGTAGATTGGAACATGACTCCACTCTTTCACAAAGACCACCACTTAACATTGAGGAGGCTAAGGATCGTCTTCGTTTGCTGATGTTACACAAATACCCCAGGTGACGTCAGTAAAATCAAATACTATTCTTTTAACTGATAAAACTTTGCAGAGTAACTTTGGTCTCATCATCTGAGGTGTCTGTGTTGTGGTTACATGTGTCTGTGATGTGCGATTTGTTTTTTTAACCAGCTTCCTAACTTATGCTAATAAGACTTCTATTGACAAAATATATTAACCAGCTGTGCAGGAGACATATTTGCTTGAAAAAGCAAATAGTGAAATAATGAAAGATGGGTTTGAATAGTGAAAGATGGGAACAAACAACTGCAAATAAGGATTTATCTACCTTTCAGTGTTCTCATTGTGTGTGTAGACTGCTTTGCTGATATGTGAGGATCATACAGCAGAAAAAAGGGTCTGTATCACTGCAGAAAATTCTTCCTTTCCAGAACAGATGGTGTCTTTAGAAAGTGTTTGGTCTGGAGGTACCAAAATGAAAGCAGGTTTTCATGATGTGACCAATTGTTGCCAAGAAACCAGTGTCTTTCATTG